GACCATACTATCGTACAGAACATCCTTAAATGCAAACAGGAACGCGGCGGTGAGCACGCTCTGGCTGACCTTGGGTCCAATGCCTGAGAAGATGTCAGTTCAGTTACCAGAGCAATTTTTCCAAAAAGGAAAAAAAAAAAAGTTTGAACCAAAATTGAAGAGATATATAAAATCCACATACCCCTATACAGCCCACCCCAGCCCTCCTCCCGTACAATGCGCATCATACTCTCATTCAAGCTCGCCTTCTGGCCCGACTTCTCCTCCTTCACGGCAACATGCATCCGGCTCTTGACCGTGATGTACGGGTACGTAATGGTGGTCGCCAGCAACTTGCCCAGGGCCCCTAGATAGAAGGCGTCGGTAGGCGTGATGCGGCGGCGCCGCTCAAGCGCATTCTTCAACTGCTCGAAGAACGTATATTGCAGAATCGGGTTGATGACCAGGATCAGCGCGGGCAGGACGCCAGCGAAGAGCGCCGCCGGCCCTTCCTTGCGCAGCAGCTCCATCAGCGTCGCCAGCGTCGACTTGGACTTGGGCTTCGCCTCGCCCGCCGTAGCACCGCCGCCGGGGAGCCCGTCCTTGTCCTCCGAGGACTTGCGCGCCGTCATCCGCGTGTTCACCACCCAGATCGGGTTGGTGAGCAGCACGGTCGCGCTGCCCGCGATGGCGCCGGCGATCATGGACTCGGCCGTGGTGAGTTTCTTGGACGCCCGGCCGGCTTTGACGGCGGCTTTCTCGAAGGCGGAGCGGGTCCACTCGTACCAGTAGTAGTAGACGAAGTTGGTGACGGAGATGCCGAAGAGGGCGGATTCAAGGCCAGCGTAGAGGCCACGGATGCCCTCGTGGGCGATTATGTGGCGGATGGCATCGAGGGCGGAGGATTGGGCGCGCTTGGATTCTACTTGGGCGCGGGTGGAGAGTGTAATTAGAGGGTAGCTGTAATTCGGGGGGGGGTGTTATCTTGATATTTCTTTTTTCGGTTTAAGTTGGTACATGGATATATAGGAGAGCACTCACGTTAAGATCATGGAGAGGATGCCACCTCCGGCGCCTGCGAGGGCATGGGCGATGTTATCACTCTGTTGCGCGGCGGCGGCAACAACCGCCTTTTGCTGCTCTCTGGGTACCGGCTGGGACATGTTTGCAGGCTTTCCACGTATATTATAATTTCAGGGGGAGTTTAGATTTGTGGGCGAATTATATATATGCTGAGGTCTCGCCGTCGTTGGCAAGGGGGGGGATAAGGCGAGGAAATTAAAGAGTGGAAGAAGTAGTTAAATAGTACAAGAAGAGAATAGAATGCGAGCATGTGGATAGATATTTAAATGGTTAGTGCACTTTTTCTTTTTTACCAATCCGATATTTTTCTTCTTTAATTACTCCCTTACTTATAATTCCTTATAATTCCAAGGGACGAGAATGAATGGCCCCATATAGTTAACTAACTGTGAGATCTGTTATATAAGTTAACCGCAGAATGACGACAGTTTGCCGGGCAGCGGAAAAACTGTGCCTCGGCTGGGAATCATCAGAACTTCTAGCCACTGATAATTTACGGAGTTACTTTATATACACAGAGGAAATATCCATTCAGGTTAAATTTATTTCAACGGTCAAGAATTAGGAAGTCGCTCTTCTCGTAAAAATCGCCAGATATGAAAATAAAACGGAGAGCAAGGGTAACTATGTAAGTTACTCCGTATGAATGATATGGGAAGAAAAGCCAGAGCGAATGTTATTTTATGACGTGGTAGAAAGTTTGATAACAATTGCATGTGATCGCAAAAATAAGTGAACAACAAGAAGATTCACAAGGACATTTTCAAATGAACAGAAAGAAATTACAAAGCTCAGAGATACTGAATATCATGTGGTAAATCTTTCATTTTCTCTTATGTTGATTGATCAAACTAATAAAAAAAGGAGAGAGGAGAATTGAAAACAGAACCACTCCACTACCCACTACCCACTACCCACTACCCGCCCGCCTCTAGCTCATAAATATCAAGATGAACCATTAAAAATTACTAAATGTAGGAGGAGTCGTCTTTTCCTGTCCACGGGTGAATAAGGTGACAGACAGGACAGGAGAGGTAATGTAGAAGGAGAGATTACTTGAAGATTATATCGGCACAATCTCTCTCTTCAAACGCGGGCGATGAAGATGCCAAAACACACACACTCCAGCCAAATCAAAAGAGTGGAAAAGAAGAAAAAAAATTCACACAATCACAACGTTTAGCTTTAGACACATTTGATGCCCGGCTGAAGAAGGTTACAATGGCAAAGAAGAAAGCAGCATAATATCAAATAAGGTGAAAATAAAATAAACATTCTAATGAACATCAATAGTAAATATATCATAACGTAGCCTTTGAAAAATAAATAAAGGGAAGGGGGGGGGGGGGGGGGTGAGGGGGATGGGGAAGAGGAAGAGGAAATTCCACGGGTGAAAAGGAGCTAGGAAAAAAAGAAGAAAAATACCAACTAAGTAGTAACAGCGACAAGAACAAGAAGAGGCGCAACAAACAGGATTTGGCAAAAAAAAAAAGGAGATTTCAGTTGGATAACATGAAAAACTAAAAAGTAGAGCAATAAAATAGACAAAGACACAAAGCAAGAACGAGAGCAGGGGTAAGTGAAATTCAAGTAGAGATAGGCAGACGATGGAGCATTCGGGGCCTCCAATCCTTGCAACACGGAACAGAAAGAGAAAAAAAGCCAAGTTGTTGGGCCAATGCAAGGGATGTGATTGTGGGCATGGATGGCGTGCATCGTTTATCTCATGAAGAGGCGAAGGCAGGAAGTAAAATGGGCACAGGGAAAGCGGGCGGAGGGCAGGTGATGGTGGTTCGGTGTGGACATGTTCGACATCGAGGAACCCTGGGCGGAGAAATAAGCCAACAGAGGGAAGGAAGACCAAGAGAGAAAGAAAGAAAAAAAGCCAGCTTGCCCCGTTGACCCTATGATCAAAAGCTCCCCTAATCCCATTTAAAAAACAAACGACAAAAGCCAAACCTCCTCGAATCCCTGAGTTTATATGTTGGCAACAAGACCAGCGAAAAGGTGCCGTTTTTGCTTTTAGTTCTTTCTTCTTTCCTCCATGGACCAGAAGGCTTCCGGATCCAGGTACAGGTCCAGTTCCTGTTCCCATCTCACGCCATGGGGGAATGATATGTGATATGAAATGACAATGCAAGGCAAGGCAAGAAAAAAAAAAAAAAAAAAAAAAAAAAAAAAAAAAAAAAAAAAAAAAAAAAAAGACGTAGCAGAGCATAGCATAGGACAGCATATCACAATCATTTCATCCCGTATATATCCCATCACCGCATTACCGATATCACGCAGTGGACACCGTCACCCGCCTGCACACAACACCGACTACCCAACACCAATACCAACACCAGCTAGGACATATCTCTTTTTTAACAGCATCCACCCGCAGACCCGGACTGCACGCCCTGTCCCTGTCCAACCTGCACAGTAGGCTTGTTATTGACAGTCGCTGTGCCCATCCGCTCTTTGATCTGTCTAGCCATGGTCAAGAAAGCTTGCTCGACATTCGATGCGCTCTTGGCAGATGTCTCGAGGAAGGGGATTCCAAGGCTATCGGCGAATTCCTATTCGTTTTTGAAGCGGGAAGTAAAACGACGTTAGCAAAATATGTACATGGAATGAATACCTAGCTAATATCTGGAGAAGCCCCCGAGGGAGGGAACCCACCTTAGCAACAGTATACTCAACCGCCTTCTTATCCTCCATATCACTCTTATTGCCCACAAGCAACTTATTCACGCCCTCGGTCGCGTAGCGGTCAATCTCCTGTAGCCATTGTTTGACGTTGTTGAAGGAGTCCATGTCTGTCACGTCGTAGACTACGCAGATACCATGTGCGCCGCGGTAGTAGGAAGATGTGATGGTCCGGAAACGTTCCTGACCGGCTGTATCCCACTGCAGAGCGACAAAGCGGAAAAGAGATAGGGTTTAGTCAAATGTTGGATCATGAGGGGAGGGAGAGGAAAAGGGACAAGGGGAATTGGTAATGCATACGATTTGAAGTTTGACGGTCTTGCCATCCAGCTCGATAGTTCGGATTTTCTGAGGAGAGAAAAAAATAGACAACAAGATCAGCATTCAGCACTTTGTATGACGTCGCCAAAAACTCCAAAATCATTTCATCCTGATTTTTCTTATCCGAGAGCAGACCATTGCAGGTCCTTATGATCATATATAGCCAACTCGCCAAATCACCCGGATCCCAAGATATATCAAAAAAAAAGCACGATGAAAAGTACTCACAAAATCCACACCAATGGTCGAAATATAACTCTCGGTATACGTATCATCGGCAAACCGCAGGAGCAGACACGATTTGCCCACACCGGAGTCGCCGATGAGGAGCAGCTTGAAGAGGTAGTCGTATCTATTGTGGTTTGCATCTGTTTTAGTAATGTATTTTGATTTCTCGGTGGGGTTTTTTGTTAAAATTTGTGTGTATATAGGTTCTCTGGTCGTCCCATCGCCCATCATCCCGTAGCGCAAAGTTCAAAAGGCCTTGAAACACGACAAGTCCATCGATGGATCGGGTACCTCTACCCAGGCTTACCCTACCCCTGCCCTACCTTGACCCGGGCTGCATCGGACTGGACCGGACTGGTTGCAGCATATCGACGGGGGGCCATCGCAGAGCAGAGGAAGGAGGAAGACTAGGTCACAACCAGAGCCTATATCACTATATAGTCGGGGAGGGACGGGGGGAAGCTCTCGACGAAACAGAGATAATAGAGAGGCAGCGGACATAAGGGAGCGAAAAAAGGGGATGGAAGCTGATGATTTGAGGAAAAAGAAGGGGATAACTCTGCACCGCACGCACATCTAAAGTTAGCAAGAAATGTAAAAGAATAAGAAAAAGAAAAGACAATGTTGTTCCTCCGTTCCGTTCTTCCTCTCTTTTTATTTTCCTCTCTGTCTTTCTTTCTTTCTTTCTCCAAGTATCACTAGACCGCAGCTGGGCGGATGGACATGGACACAGTTTGGTTGGTTGGCTGGGACCTGAGCTGAGCTGAGCTTGAGCTGAGCTGAACTGCAGCAGGATAAATAAAACATCCAACAGCAGCAGCAGGCGTTGACACCGATACTCGTCCTTGTTTATCCATATCCATATCCATATCCATGTCCATGTCTAGATCCGCGAGCCATCGCCACGACATCAACATCGGAATGCCCAGTCCGACGCAGCCCTGTAGTAACCTGCAGCCAAGCAGGGCAAGCAAAAGCTGACGAACGGACGGCGAAGGGACGAGGGAGAAGGGGGGAGAGAAAAGTCGAGAGCAAGGAAGGGGGGAAAGAAAAAGAAACTTACCACTCAGGATTCATGATGGCTGGCTTGTTGGCTGATGATGGGAATGGGAATGGGAATGGGATAGACGATCAAGGGAGAGAGAGAGAGGAGACGGGGACGGAAGGAAGCAGAGATAGATGGATGGATATGTAACGTAGGAATTTGTTTTGCCGGCGTGGAGGGTTTTCGATGTGGATGAAGAGAAGAGGGAAGGGGGAATTTTTCAAATAGATTTGTAGATGTTGTTGTTGTTAGTGGTGGTAAGTAAGGTAAATAAATAGGTTGTGATGTTTAAGCAACGGTGGTTGTGGTGGTGGTTGTCGATGTTTCGACGTTGTTCTTGGGCTGCTAGGCTGGGGGTTTGGCTGGTTGGTTGGTTGGTTGGCTGCTCTCTGTCTGTCCGCTAGGAGGAAAACTCACCACTTATGATATGAAACTTACTACCTCTGCAGCTTTATTATTAGTTATTTAACAGCAGGACGAAGGTAAGGTAGACTTGGTATCATTCAGGCAAGAAAATAATTTATACCCCGTGGCAGATAACCATGCGACAATTTCTATTAAACTACCTGTGTGTTGAGGCGATATATATATAGCGTATGGTATGTATGTTGTGCGTCACCCTCTCTCCGCTACTAGTTGATTCGATTCTATGCCTCCCATAAACCACCCACCCACGCCTTACCAAGCTCAAATATAAATAATTAACAAATTACACCCTCCTCTCTCCCCCTTCTATTATACTCCAAGGCGAGTACGGAGTATTTGTCTCTCTCTCTCTCTCCCTCCCTCTCTCCCCTCCTAGCACTACCTCCTCTTGCAGCCGGGCCTCGTGGAAGTTTCCATGCGCCATTTCAAGTTTAGCGCGGATGCTCATGTGATTTTGTCTGCTAACACGTGACATGGAGTCCAGCTGAATGGATGAGATCCAGGATGGGCTGCTGAAGTCACTATGTACAGTATAAAGATGGTGGATAGGATATACAGCGATGGGAAAAGCTCATTTCCCTATGTCGGAGTTCATCTGTACCTTACCGTCTCAGAATATAGAGTAAAATATTGCAGTTTCAGTTATATCCAGCAAATGTCATCTGTCTCCAAGGACTGACTCTTCTCGTGGCCATCATTGATCCTTTCACCTGACCATCAATATGACTATTCCCATTCCTATTCCTATAACAAACCCATGATCATACAAACGATGACAACAATATAGTACCTGATTCCTACCCCTGTAAGAAAAAAATACTCTTAAGTTGAGAAGTTACTCTACGCATACCCATTCGCCTTCAACCACTCCACAACAACCCCCTCCTCCCTCTCCTTATAATTCGCATTCGTCCTCACCGTATCCGCAATAATAACTAGGCCCCGGTCAATCCCGCTCTGATCCTTATCTGCAAAGAACTTCGCAATATCCATCTCCACCGCATGCTCCGCAAACTTCGACAGCCCCATCCGCAAGAACCGATCAAACACGACCTTGTTATTCGTCAGCCGCCCCTCGATCATCGTCCAGTTCTCCTTGACGAAGTTCCAGAAGGTAAGGCGCGCTTTGGAGTTGGCTGCCAGGGCACTGGCACCCGTGTGCAGGTCTTGGATGGCCACGTTGGGCGAGAAGATGAAGTTGCCGTAGCTCTTGATCAGATCTGGGTTCCTCGTGCGGCCGAGGGAAAGGAGGCAGATTTCCTTGCCGTCAATGGAGTCGGTGCGGAGGTACTCCTCCATCACCTGGTCGTACTCCTTTTGGCCGCCTTCCGCGACGGTCATGCCGAACACGGCGGACCGGAGCGAAGGGTGGATGGCTGCCTTATCCTCTCCGGATGCCCACAGGTCAAAGCGTCTTCTGGCTTCGGCAAGGGTCCTAATGGCCGATTTAGTAAATTGAAAAAAAAAAATGTAGATTATAGGGTCCACGTAAAATGTACTCACCCTTCATGACCGGAATTACCTGCCATCGAAATGAGCAAATGCCGGAGCTGGATGGTGAGGTAGTCGTCTTCGGGTTTGAATTCCCATCCAATCTTTTCCACAGCAGGTGTAACGAGTTCCCTCACGTAGTTCTTCAAGCCCGCAGCAGCAGCTTCATTTGTCGAGAACACTGAGCGCAGGTTGCCTAGAGACGAGGCGATTTGAGACCAGACACTACCAACAACAAAAAGCAAAAGGTTAGGGCTGTAGTAGACACAGAGTTTTTGATGCTGGAATTTGAATAATCTTACAGGTAATTCGGCTCATTCTGGAAACCCTCAATAAGTGCCAGGAGGGCAGGGGTATTTCCCTCGCCAGATATGGCCAATGCCGCAGCGTCTCCAATCAGACCGATTTTATCTTCCGTGCTCAAGCGATACTGCGATTTACCTAACTTCGCAAGTCTGTCAGCAGGGTAGTTTGTTCGGTAGAAGCCGCATTGATCCTTGTTGATCTTGTAGAAGCTGCTGTCGATGCCTTGAATAACATCAGACTTTGTCGTGAGACCCTTATGCTCTTGAATAGTCGCCCCAGACTTGATGCCCAGAGGAATCCACCAGATGGTCTCATCTTCCTCGGGTTTCACATCTCCAGATGCAAGGAAACGTTTCTGAGAGACACTGAGCTGGTTAGTCTCTTCTTTAATAGAGACTAAGGGGAAGCCGATCTTGCGAATCCATGGGTCCTATTTGTTATGTACATATTAGCCAAAACAACTTCAGATACGACAGGAAAGTAGGGCTACAAACCATAAATGCGGTCACGTCCTGGTTAGAAGCCTTGCTTAGGGCTGACCAAAGGTCGTTGGTGGTGGCGTTTCCTGGTGGATTTGAATGTTAGCTACCATGATCCCACTCAATAGGGAGTATAACAGATGGGTAATACCATATGCATGAGCTTTCAAATAGTCAGACACTCCGCGCAAGAAAGTCTCTTGCCCGAGGTGACTGCTCAACATTCGAATGACGGAGCTACCCTTGAGGTAACTGATATGGTCGAATATCTGGTCGACTTCAAGAGCGTTCTTCACGGGGACTTCAATTGGATGCGATGCCCGGAGCGAGTCGAGTTGGAACGCTGATTGGAGTCCCTCAGCCTATGAAGTCGTTAACAAACAAACTGGAAGTCACATATTACAAGGTACCTCTGGCATTCCGTACCACAAACTGGGACCAAATATTCCGTTCTAACCAATTTGTTAGTATGTACCCATTTTTAAAAAGGGGAAAGAGGGTTATATTTGCCTACCGGGATGGAAGTGATCAATAGCCAGCCAGCCAACCCATGTAGCGAAGCCTTCATTCAGCCAGAGCTCGTTCCACCAGTCCATGGTGACAAGGTTTCCGAACCATTGATGAGCGAGTTCTAGACAATGGGTTAGTTCAACAAAATAAATGCCAACAGGATGAGTGTTCTATTCATACCGTGGGCAATAACATAAGCGACACGGTTCCTATATTTATTATCCGATTTGCCTCTGGAAAGCCCAGCGGTGTTCTGTATGTCCACAAGACCCCAGTTCTCCATAGCTCCCCATGGCCCTATACGAGAAATTCTATTACAAAAGCATTTTTTTTTTTTTTGAAAAAAAAAAAAAAAAAAAGGAAGAAAGAAAAAAAGAAAAAGAAAAAAAAAAGAAGAAAAGAAAAAAAAGAAAAAGAAAATCCAAAGAAAATTGCGGAGACTCACGAACTCATGGACGGCAAGTAAGTCGGCCTTGGGCAGTGGATAATCGATATCGAAGATTTCGGAGAAATAGTCAATGGTGCGGTGGGCGTAGTCAGCGGCAAATCGAGCCTGCTCCTTCAGACCTCTAGTGGTATATACACGAACGGGGATGCTGGCACCGTTGTATTTGCGTTCCGTCTTCGCCTCGACGTATTCAAAGTCACCCACAGCCCATGCGAGCAGCTATAGATCAACGGTAGATAAGTAATTAGCAGAAGTGTGACGATGGATCACAATATGGATTTTTATATTGAACTAACATAGGTGCTCATAATCGGGGTGCGGTCGAACTTGACGAAGTGCAAGTTCGGGGAGGAACCATCGCGGGTTGATTTCACAGGCATATTGCTCAAGGTGACCAGATCCTTGGGAGTCTCGATCTCAAAGTCAAAGGTAGCCTTCAAATTTGGCTCGTCAAAACAAGGGAAAGCCTGTCTCGCATCGCAGGCTTCGAATTGGGTGCTCAACATGTAGTGGTGGTCTGCATCCTTGGGGGTGCCGGAATTGGGAGTCCCGATAGGCTTGTACTTGGACCGGTAGAAGCCGGCCATATGGTTATTGATGGTGCCAGTGAAATCGACAGTGAGAAGGCAAGGGCCAGGTTGGATTTCTGAAGGGAATTTGAGAATGACACGCTCGGAGACCTTGTCGTATGAGATATCGGATGCCTTGAGGGGATTTCCTGTAATACAAAGTCAATACGGGATTAAGGATAGTAAATCAATGGAACAAGAGAGTATCGAGAGTATCTAGGGGGCTGGATGGAAGACATACCGGCGGAAGAAGATATCTCAGCATTGTCAACGGTGAGCTCTTTGACATTGAGCACGAGCTCGTTGGTTGGGCGGTAGACCTGGGTGTCTATCTTGACCTTGCCATTGTAGGCCCAGGAGGAACCGAGCTTGAGGTTGAAGAGGGACAGGTCGTAGTGGGTTGGTTTTGCCCTGGAATATTGAGTTAGTAATGGGGGATAATAACATAGACAAGAGACAATCGATCAATGGACATACACATCGGGCAGTGTTTCTCTATCGCTGGGGTTCATGTTGCGGAATTCTGCGGAACAGTGACGACGGTAGACAGGCGACAGAGTAGTTCTAGTTCTTGGACGACAAGAAGCAACAGATGGGGGGATACGGCGGGTTGTCAGCAGAGGAGAGGAGGAAGAGGATGATGAAGAAGGAGAAGAGAATGATCTTCTTCTTGTTGTTGTTGTTGTTGTTGTTGTTGTAGTTGTTGTTGTAGTAGTAGTGGTAGTAGCAGCAGATGGCGGGGCAGGGGAGGGGGAGGAGAGCGGGGAGCGGGGCAGCAGACGGCAGGCGGAGGAACCATGACGTGGGGAAAATACCGCCGCAGTAGTAGCAGAAGTAGCCTTGGTGGATGTACCGGTACAAGGGCTCCTATAACCGCTACTGGTGCTGCTGTACATGTACCTGCTGCTATTGCCGGCACGCATCAAGCCTCGAATAGCGGGCATGGGCCTGTTGGCGATGTGGCCGCTGTTTCTGCTTCTGCTGCTGCTGCTGCTGCTGCTGCTTACTGCGTACCTAGGTATGCTTCTGCTTGCCCGTGAGCTAAGGGCAAACATCTCTATATACGCTTATATTTATCGGCTAGTTCTCTGTGTGTATGTGGAAGAGCTATGCATATGGAACTGGCTACACAATGCCAATAATTGAATAATGAGTGACTGCTCGACCTTGGATGGATATTTTCCTTCTGAAAGAACTGACTTGTTGTTCTCTCTCCCTTTATCACGGATCTTACTTAAATAGCTTGGAATTTTAGTTTAGTTCTAGCCAATCAACTAAAAAACTAAATTAACTAAACTAAAACAACTAAACTAACCGTTAACTAGTTAGTTTAGTTGGGACTGGGGAAATAAAGAATAAAATGAATAGTTAATTGGCTGTTGATCGTTGTTGTTGTTGGCTTCCATTCGTGGGCGGGAAATAAGTTAACTAGTTGCAGCTCGGGAGCTCTTCTTTCTCCTCCACTCCTCCCTCACCTATTTATTATTATTCCAACCATCCATACTACTCACTCCACAGAGTAACCACCACTTACTCTATACCTATACCCTCACGAGCATGTCCGATTCAGACGATGAATACATCGCCCACGCCTCAGATCACGATCTGGACGAGATCTTAGAAGACGACGACGATGTTGACGATGACATAGACTCCGGTCCCGCTGCCTCCTCCGCCTCCGGGCCCCGGCGCCGTCGAGCGGCCGCAGGAAGCTCAGCAGCTGCAACAGCAGCAGCGCAATCGTCGCGAGATGCTAAGAAGAAGAAAAAGGGCCGTGGAGGCGCCGAGTGGGAGGTGTCCAGGACCTGGGAGTCGCTCGTTGAAAGCGCGGATGGCACCATCAGCGCGACAGTAGAGGGTCTGCTGGAGGCCGGGAAGAGGAAGAGGTATATATCAACATACACTTCATGATATATCTATTCTCACCATATGGACTACTAAATTCCTCTCCCCGGATGATAGACTACTCCGCGATACCACCCCCCTCCAACGCGGCATCATTAGACATCTCATCCTCGTCCTCGACCTCTCCTCTGCCATGGCCGAAAAGGACCTCCGCCCAACCCGCTATCTCCTAACCCTCCGCTACGCCCAGGAGTTTGTCCTCGAGTTCTTCGAACAGAACCCCATCTCCCAGCTCGGCGTGCTAGGCATGCGCGACGGTCTGGCCGTGCGCATCAGCGATATGAGCGGGAACCCCACAGATCATATCCTAGCTATCCAGTCCCTCCGCCCAAAGGACCCCAAGGGCATGCCATCTCTGCAGAATACCTTAGAGATGGCCCGTGGTGCGCTTTTGTATGATTTTTTCCCTTTTTTTTGTTTCTTCTTCCGTTTAAAGCACCAATGATGCACAAGAAACCAATGCTAATACTTCTCTATCCGTTGAGCCGTACACCAACACACGGCACCCGCGAAGTGTTCATAATCTTCGGCGCCCTCCTCTCCTCCGACCCAGGTGACATCCACAAAACCATAAACACCCTGGTCGCCGACAAAATCCGCGTCTCCATCATCGGCCTCGCCGCCCAAGTCGCTATCTGCCGCGACATCTGCGCCCGCACAAACAACGGCGACGACAGCGGCTACGGCGTCGCCCTCAATGAGCAGCATTTCCGCGAACTATTCATGAACGTCACAACCCCACCCGCCACAACCGTCGCTCCCACACCAACAACAACAAAAGAAGAAACAAAAACGTCACAAACAACAACAAGCTCCCTCCTGATGATGGGCTTCCCCTCCCGAACCCTCAGCCCAACCACCACCCCAACTCTATGCGCCTGCCACTCCAAACCCTCGCGCACCGGCTACCTCTGCTCCCGCTGCGGCGCAAAAGTCTGCACCCTCCCCACCTCCTGCCCCTGCGGGGGCCTCCCGTGGTTCCTCTCACCACCTCGCCCGCTCCTTCCATCACCTCTTTCCGCTGTTGAACTGGGTCGAGGTGTCCGGGGCCCCCGCTGCGAGGAAAAGGAGTGCCAGCTGTTTTGCGTGTGCGGTTGGGTTTCCGCAGGTCGTAAAGCAATTTTCCGGGGGGGAGCAAGAGGGGCCGAGAGGAGCAGGGAGAAGGGGAAGGGGAGACGGTCAAGGGGCCATCTGGGATTAGCGTTAGTGGGCGCTATGAGTGTCCCGTTTGCGAGTGTCATTTTTGCATTGATTGCGATGTGTTTGCGCATGAGGTTGTGCATAATTGTCCCGGGTGTCAGAGTGGGGTTGTGCAGCAACTGCAGCAGCAGCAGCAGCAGTTGAATGGGAACGGGAATGAGAATGGTGTGGCTGATGAGATGGATACGGGGTAGAGGTGGCATTTGAGCTGAAATGGAACGGAACTGGGAAAACCAATAAGGGGGCGGTTGCGTTTCTTATTTCCCGTCATTTCCCTACCATTTTCCTTACCCGCCATTTCGCCTACCATTCTTCTTTTCCTGTTTTTAAATTTCCTTTTTTTTTTTTATCTGTACCAGGTACTCATGGCGCAATGCAACATACATGCATGGTTCTGGCGTTATTCATTTACATTTAGTTTTTACTGCTATGATATAGCTTGGAAGGGATTTCCAGATACAGTGGTTTAGCAAGCATTTTTCTTCTAGAAAAAAGAGGAAGCCGGGGGGGGTGGGTGTTAACGGGAATGTAGAGATCTGGACGAGCTTAGATTTTTTTTTGCAAAACAATAAGTGATGAGGAATAGATACAGAAATGAAAAGAAATGAAATCTCATTGTTGAAATACGACAGTTTCACTGGAAATAAAACACAACCAACCATTCATCAATCAATATCATTCCGAGAAAAAAGGGGAAAGGGGTCAAAGAAAACAGCGGCAGAATAAAAAGGCGGTTAGTCGGTATTGGCTCCCCGCATTCTTCCATCGGCTCGGTATCAATCCCATCACCACCTCAATTAACTATCCGATTTCTTCAACCTGCTGTGGAAAAAGGAGAAGAAATAGAACAAAGAGAGAAAAAATAAGAGAAGGCATATAATAATAATAATAATAATAATAATACTAATACTTGCAATCCCCCCTATCCCGATCCCCCGCTCCCGCACGCCTCCTCCGCACCCTATACCGACAGCGACAGCGACAGCGACACAGACACAGACACAGACACCGCAATGTCCACCACAACACCTCCCAACCAGGATCCTCCTCCTACCCCTGCTGCTGCTGCTGCTCTACCCTCCTCCTCCTCCTCCTCCTCCGGGCCCGCTATAACAACAACATCACCTCCACTACCATCTCCCGAACAAAACATCCCCACCACAACGGCCCCCCCGCCCTCCTCTACAACCACAACCAAAACCACATCAGCGTCCCCATCCCCCTATCAAGCCTTCCACACATACCCGTTCGCCACAGACGCGGAGTTCAAACTAGGTCTCGGCGTGATTCTGGGAAAACCGGCGGGGACGCCCGCGACGGAGGATGAGGTGACGGGGACTCGTACGGGTGATGGCGATGGCGATGGCGGGGATGGGGATGGGGATGAGTACGCAGCGCTCGGCGGCGAGTTACTGCTGAAGGCGAAGATGTTTTATTTTGCGAAGTGAGTTATTGTATATATGTATACATATATATATATACATATATAGAAGCTAACAACCCACCCCAAACCCCCAGGAAATTCCCCTCAACAACCACAACCCCCCTAACACCAAAGGGCTACATAACCTACCTCCAACAACTAAAAAACAACCCCAACCCGAACCCCCCATCCTCCTCCTCACTCCCCCCTCAATCTCTCCCTCCATCTTCCGCTCCTCCCCCACCCCCTTCTTCAACCACAACCACAACAGCCACCCCCCCGCAGCCCCACAGGGAACCAACCTACCCAACCCCCTTCGCCCACATCGTAAACCTAATCACAACCAACCAGCCAATCCCCGGCATCCAGGAGATCCCAGACACGGTTCTGACGGGTAAAGATAAACCGAGCGTTGCTGAGCGGCGGCGGAAGCCGTGGGAGGTTGCTACCGCTGCTAATGCCTCCGATGCCCCCGATGATGGTGCTGATGGTGGAAGTACTAGTATTGAGGGTGGTGGGGATGGTGCGGGAGTGGGTAAGGAGAAGGAGAAGGAGAAGGAGGATAAAGGTGGCGAGGTGGAAGAGCAGCAGCAGCAGCTTCAATGATGATTGACAATTGTGGGGGTGGAGAGGGAGATTCCGCTGTTATGGCGGTTCAGTAGATGGTAAAAGCTATGAAGAGGCGAAAGCTGGGTAGGAATTAATAAACAAGACATTGAACCCACTTACATACAAACACCCTCAGATACAAACACACTCATATATATATAGATATACATAACTACACCACGTATTATATTAGATACCACAGTCATTTTATTATCATGTTGTCCCCGCAATTATGTTATTAAACGATAACTATTCTTGTCCGAATCGTGGTTAAAATACACTGTTAATCCCGTGATTAAAAAGAATAGGGGTTTTTTTTTTTTTTATATGCCAACGGCCAGCCCTTCGTTAGACAAGCTTTGCGGTTGCCTCCAGTCTCAAAATTGCAAATGTCCATCCAGCCCGAGAATCAAAACATATTGGCGGCAATTAATAGCACAAAGAAGACCTGCGCCATGGAGGGATAATATAAAGCTAAGCTGTACCTGATAGCGAAATTCAAACAAATAAACCTTTCCCATGTAGGTAGCTGAGAAAAGGTGAACTCGAACCTGCTTTTTTCTGTTAAACCAAAGCACTGGGGAAACCCACGCCTATTAGTTATCTTAGGATAAAATCATTTTTGAAAAAATATGACAAATTAAAAGAATGAAATGGGTGTAGCTCTGGGGTTTTAGAAAACCGGGGAAAAAACGTAAAGGAAAGGAAGAAGGATCTAAGAGAAATTTGAATCAGAATGGTTGTTGGTTGTAAGTAGCAGCTCCAACAAGCCAAGAGCAGATGATAGGATTTCTTTTTTAAAAAAAGCTCGAACCAAGCAGAAAAATCCACGCATCCGAGAATCCTAGACTGATGAAGATAATTGTAAATGTGCATTCCGATATGTGATCTTGCTCCAGCATCCCGGGGTTCGGGGCATCAAATGTTGGATGTAATGTCATGGAAACCAAAGGCTTTTAGTGATGATAGTCTAGATATGGTCAACGAAATGGCGGGTAGTTGGCGCTCCACTGGCCACCGCGGTTGAACCGTCCGGATGATTGGCTTCCAGAAAAGCGATCCTCTCCTCCGGGGTTCGAGAAGCGGTTAACCTGGACTCCTGCTCCTGGGCCTGGACGAGTAACATGGCTGGGGTTGCAGCAGAGCATTGCAACGCGAGAGCCGAACTTGGAACCGCGCAAGGAAACCATATGTTTGCTGTGTAGAAGAAGTTAGACAAGTTTACAAAAAAAAAAAAAAAAAAAAAAAAAAAAAAAAAAAAAAAAAAAAAAAGGACGGAAATTGAACGGACCGGATGTGGGTAGCAACAATTTCTCGCTGATGAGCAGCAGAATTCATAAGGATCCACTGGATCAAGTAATTGCCATACTGATCTCCAGCAACTAAGCAAAATATTAGTTTTCCATATCAATCAACCATAAAAGTACCATCAAAACTTACTGTCGATAAGGGGCATACGAGGGCGGTCAGGACGACCGGTACAAACGCGAGTAAGGTAACGGTCCAGAAATTCAGAGCCACCAATCTTCAAACATTTTTCGACAACCTTGGAGGCGAACTGGTCCATGCTGTAGTCAGTGGCCCAAAGGAGGATATGCTCGATGGCACGGCTTTTATCATGAGGTGCACCGTGTTCGCAAATGTGCTGAATGCACCAGTTACCAAACTGACCATGAGAGAGAAGATCAATTTTGGCAAGAACTTCCTCAATCGCTTGACGCTGTGGTGCTTGTTAGTAAAAAAAAAGTATGTAAAAAGCAATTTTTAACAAAATCCAATGGAAAGGGAAGAACTGCACCTTTTCATCCTCCACACAGTTTTCAAAGATATTCTGCACGACCAAGCTTCCGGTCTCACCGAGAGCAACCTCGTGCCACATTCCACGGAGTGCTTCGTTGACCTTGGTCATAATCTGAGGGGGTTCGTTGCTCCAACGAAGTTCGAAGAGTTTCTGCCAGACATGACAAGCATAGCGATGAATGACCGTTTCCGGAATACGACGTAGTAGCTCATGAACCATGACTGCCTTGTGCTCCTCCGGCACACAGTCAAACGCTTTTTGAATTACGTGACAGCCAAAAGGATCCATACTCAGGCTCAATGTGTTTCCACGAACAGCGTTGGCGATGGCAATGACCTGTTCAGGGGTACCATGTTCAAAACAACGCTGAACAAGGAAGTTTCCGAAACGATTGACCATCAATGGATATGCCTGGTTAACAATTGCTTCGATGATTTCATACTTTTGCTCCGCCGTTCCAACCTTGAGCTTCTGCTGAAGGAAAATAGACGCCTGCTGGTCATTGCTGCAGACAATTTTGTCTACAATGTATTTCCAGTCACAGGACACGCTCTTGTCAAGTAGACGACGATAGTTCAGCGGCTCAAGAGGCGAGACATAGGTTTGAACCGCACCAGAGGCAGACTGAAATTGTTAGTAGAAAATTGAAATAAAACAACGTTCACAGCTTACTCACCGATGTGCTCCAAGTGTCAGGAGCAGAATTAACAGTAAACTCCGCTGCAGTTGGAGACAGAGGGGTCCCAATGGGCCGTGGCTGATACTGACCAGGTCCAGGAAATATTCCGGGATAGGGCCCTGCGTGCTGGTTGCTTACTGCTCGAGTCGTTGGTCCACCAGGGGCCACTGTAGAAAAGGTTCCCCAGGGAGAGTTTTGTGGTGGGAAGCACGACCCGCCACGGTTTAGCTTCGCCGAAGAGTGCCGATTTCCAGGGCCTTGCAGATACTGCGCTTGCTCGGCGGTATAACGGCCATCAAACCCAAGGGTGGGGGACCCGGGACCGGATAAAACACGCTGGTTGGGTGCATAACCTGGATGATGCCCTCCAAAACCCGGGTGGGACAGCCTACCAGCCCAGTTACGACCAGGGTCCGGGGTAATGGTTGGGCTACCCAAGGTGGCATGCTCACGATAAAGGGTGTCCTTGGTACCAGCAGCGTTCATCACGAACGAAGGGTGACCACTATTCCAGATGCCACGAGCACGGTTATAAGCACCAGCAGACAGCGCATCCGAAATGTCAGACTGGGCGTCGTCTTGAGTAACCCACGTCTCCTGACGCTGATTAAAGGGACGCGTAGAGGAATTGAAAGCATTTTGCAAACTGCTTATAGTCTGCTCAGTGATCTCGCGGCCACCAAAGTCAGCCTCAGAGGGGGGACCCAGAGCTTGGTCCAGGGTGTGCTTGATTACACGTGTTTGAGCCAATTCTTGTTCCTGAAGAGCTATACGAGAATTGGCAGCAACCAGTTCTTGTTTCAAACGAAGCATTTCAATAGCATCCACTTTATCCACGTTATCCCCGCTAGACTTGGACGAAGTATTGTCCCCTGAGTTGGGTGAATTACCGGAACTCAAGTGAGGAGTCGAGGTGTTTGCACCCTCGTTCTGGGATGTAGAACGCATGTGTTTGTCAATAAGGATCTGTTGCTGTTTCTCCAACATGGTTTGGTGCTCAGACAGCTTGGCCAGAATCTCATCGTTGACGGATGGCTGTTCCACAGAAACACCTCCCTTTGGAGACAACTTTGCTAGGATCTGATCCATGGCAGATGGTTGAAGCTCCGTACGAGGGGCAGAACCTGCGTGCTCCACTTTCTGCTTCTATGATTATCAGTATTTAAAATATTTCAAGATCATTGTCGGGAGCAAGAGAGCCTCGGTGTAGATATTGTAGATATTATATCTGACCTTATTAGAAGGCCCGGCCTCATCCTTGTTCAGGGCCATTGGCTGGATATTACCCAGCTTTGACGAAACCAGTGGGTTGGGCCCGCCATCGCCAGAGGTTGTGCATTTCGAGGCCTACAAACAAGAAGGTATTAGTATTCAACGTCAAGGAAAAATATGTGTTATCGAGGCACGTATGTGGAAAAAAGAAGGTCCCCACCGAGCTAACACGCCCATGACTCCCAATGTCACCATAACCCTGGAACGGCATCGATGCTTTACGCGCTGCTTCAGGAGAGCCAGTAACAGGGAATGACATCTTGACAGAAGTAATCTCTTTTTTGTATCCCTCTATACGTTGTCGCGTTTGTGGGATTTGGGCAGGAGGTGTCTTGCACAGGAGAAGCAAGATTTGACGTAAATTAAGGGGGGTAAGACACCACCACAGTTTTCAGCAACAAGACAAGCCAATTGGAAGATAAGATAACAAAGATATATCTGATATGGGAGCAGGCGAAGCACAAACAAAGCAAGATATGATAGGTTGTTTTTGAGCAATCGAAAGGGAATAAACAAACAAAGAATACGCGTAGGGAGAATCAGTAGATGAACTTGACGCGTCTCTTCTTGTGTCTCTTCAGGGGGTCAAATCGAAGCCTGAGAGGGGCAGCAAACACGTGTGGTATTGAGGACGTAGCAGACAGAACGGAAGAAGCTGAAGAAGCTGAAGAAGATGGGGAAGATGGGGAAAATGGTAGAAGAAGATGGTTGTGAAGAACACGAAGACGAAGCAGAAGATGAAGCAAGACAGAATGGCAAACGATGGCGAGAAAATAGACGAAGAGATGGAGCAAAGATAGTAAGAGAAAGAGCAATAGACTGAAGAAGATGATAGAAAGATTAAATAAAGAAAGAGAGACTGAGAGAGAGAACGACAGACTGAGGGAAAGAGAGGCGTAGATTACGACGGTGAGAAGAAGAAGATGATGAAGAAAGAAAGAAAGAAAGAAAGAAAAAAAAGAAGTTGATGAGAAAAGGAGGAGAGGAATGATAAGTAAGAAAGAAGCATCGAGTTTTTTTTTTGTGTAGATGGAAGGCATGCCTTAACTGCTTTGAGCTGGGTTAGGGTTTGGACCTCCTGAGGGATATCATGATATACCGGCAAAGAGTGAACAGCAGTGAGAAGTTGCACTGGTGATGATAACAACTCCATTTTGGCACTAATACAGTATGGAAGAGAATCATAAAGGCTGATGGGTGTTGACCAATCCTGACCATAGCAGCTTCTATACTTCAGAGCTATAGAGATAGTTGGGTGAGAGAAACATCACTCCTCTCAGAACAATGGTATCCAAACTAAGTAGACATGCAGAGAAAAACTGCATGATGGAAGAAAGGAGAAGCAGCGGGGTATATTGTGCGATATTTAGCAGATATATTTCACAGCTAGCCGCTCCATGGAAAGAAACAGAAGTACGAAGAGCCCTTGAGATGACCCTTTTTTCCCTTCCCCTTTTGAGCACTGCTTACGAGCGGTAGCAGCTGAGAAAGAATAAGAAAAAAGAACAAACTTGAGGGATGTTGAGTGTGACACCCTTTTCTAGATACCTCCTAGGGTAGATATGGCTAGCCGAATATCCAGATGACCATCATCATTTGCCAATCACTTCGTGGGTATCAGCCTATTCCCATCAGCGACGGTGGTATATAAAGGGAACAAGCGTCCGGGAAGCCTCAGGCTCAGAACCCATCTCCCCACTCCTAAAAAAGCAGTCAAAAGGCTGAGGAAGGATGGGATGGTAAAAGAAGGAAAAAAAAAAAAAAAAAAAAAAAAAAAAAAAAAAAAAAAAAAAGGAATTAGAAAACCAAACCAATCGAAATCAATCAACATACGACCCCGCAGAAACCCGCCACCCAAAATCAAAAAACCCAGCAGCATACGCCCCCGCAAACCCCCGCCATCGACACTGCTCACTCAAAACAACAAAATCAGGCTGCCCAACCCCAGTCAGGAGCGGTACGAGCCGGCTCGCCTGCCGTAACCCGCCCAAGTCGGCGCCCCAAACGACCAACTCGAGGCGTTGGTGCGGAAGTGGCCGCGGGCGCAGGAATATGGCGCCTAGGTCTGGTTCGAAGGGGTAGGATTTTGTGGTTGGGGTGGTTGTGTGCAGGTTTGAGGTTGTGGTGCGGATCGTCAGGTGGTCGTTGGCTATGTGGATGGGGAACGTGGTGACGAGGGAGGCGGGTGGTGGTGGTAGATCGTTTCCGATTGAGATGGTGATGAGGTTTCCTGGCCCGCGTAGTTCTTCCTCCTGGTCATCGATGATGTGATCATTATTATTACTGTGACTATTGTTGCTGTTGCTGTTGCAGGCAGTTTGCAGAGGCAGAAGCTGTGAGTCCGCTGCGAAATATTGAAGTAAGTTACGACTTATCTGCAGCGCCACGTTTATAAGCTGTTCGCTTCCATCACTGTCCCGGGAGCAGACCCTTATCGTAAATCTACCCGTTGAGCGAAGGATCGCGTCCATAGCACCATTCTGCCGGCCGTACCGCTGTCTGATATCGTCCTGCCAGGATCCATCGTTCGAGACGGTCCAGCTGCCCGTAATCTCGTCTTTGACGAACCATTTTGAGTGGGCTTGGTCCGCAGCTGGGACTAGAAATGTGGACTCAGAGCCACCCCCATCACCATCCGTCACTACAATCACCCTAGGATATACCGCTACACGCATCCTAGACGGTAGGAGATGGAAACGATGCACGTTACGTGCTTTTAGATGCCAAGTCACGCCTTCCTCTTTTCGGGTCGCTTGGATGTGTCCGAATTTATCCGGCGACGATAGCTGGTCTACCATGATGCCACCTCGGGATCCCATATCTCCTGAGTTAGGTATAGAGAAGGAGAAGCGTTCCGGGAGGAGGTGGTCGTAGGAAGAAGAATTGCTGGTATGACGAGAGTAGAAGTCCAGCAGTGGTTGCGTGGTTAAGACGCCATCAAACCAGTGCCCCTTTCCTGGGAGTTCATGGTATTCAGAATGCCAGCCATTTTCCCAGATTAGCTGGTGTAACAGCCGTGAGTGGTATGCAGGGACATTATCGTCTGCAGATCCATGTTGTTGGAGAATGGGGATTCCTCTAAAGTTCCCCATTAGCAATTCGTGCTTGAAGCTCTGCCGAGCTGTCTGGATCACGCTCGCGATAGTAGCCTGTCCATCATGCCACATGGTAAATGGCACGTAATCTGAAACGAAGGAGGAAAGAAAATCGGGAGTTAGCTCTCCGCTTTGTAAACGCATTTATGATGCCAGAAGTGCTGGTCATACATACTTTCAATCGACGAGTATCCCGAAACTGGAGCAGCCGCGATAACTTTATCAGGCTGATGTGTGAGAAAGAACCACGTTCCCTGGCCTCCATTCGAATGACCGGACACAAGCCAATCATCTAAAGCCGCTCCCAGCCCTTCCCACGCCACCGACTGCATCCAGTTCGGTATAGCATCAACCGCAGCCTGCACGTCCGCAGCACCCCAAGTATCTATCATCCACGTGAGCAAGACTTGTCCACACACACACACACATATATATATATATATATAGGTATACCTCTTCCATCCCAGGGAGCCGGAAGTAGAACTTACGCCAATCATCCCCACTCCACGGTGTCACACCCGTCGGGAACAGTATCCATGAACATACCCCGTACGCATCGTCCAGCATATGCCTAACCTGTTCATTACCAGCTTCAAGGCCCGCGCCGTGCAGGTCAACTAGAATGGGAAGTCTATGTTCATCGCCACTGGCCGCGGCGGAATTGCAGGAGGCGTTCAAGGGCGGCCGCAAAATGGCGTAGGATACGATGCCGCTGGGGTGGAGAAAGGTATATTTTTGCGGATCTGATATCTTGCGCGGTACCGCAGTTGCAGTCACCGGGTTTGTTTTCCGCTGTTTGCCCGCAGACTCGATTGTATAGACGAGCTGGAAGGAGAAGTTTGAGGGAGCCTGGTCATCAAAATCGATTTTCAAACCTATTGGGCGCGACTGGTGCGGAGCCAGCGTTATCGGGCTATCGATCAATACCACCATCGGTCTAGTAGATTTTATATCGCGAACAGGTTTAATGTCCGTAATCTCCGCCCATCCATCATGCTCATTCCGCACGATAACAGAAGCAAAGGGACTAGCAAGTTTCCCTTCTACGACGTCTGCAACAAGCACACTTCCCGCATCCAATTTCAAGCCCAACACCACTTCATCATTATCATCACTGCCAGTACCGTCACCAGCCAAAGAAGGCTGGATCAACTGAACCTCCACGGCAGCCCGTATTCTCGGTTCTCCCACACCACCCAACGCGCGCACATCCCTCACCAACCTCAAATCAACAACATGCGAGCCGGCCGCCAGTTTCAGAGTAACCGGCGCCCGTCGATATGCATAAAAATCGCCGCCAAAGAACGACTCTCCGTCAATCCATACCTCCAGCAATCCATCCGTATACACAGCCACGGTAGAACTACTCGTATAACCACCAGCAACAGTCCGCGTGGTCACATTAAAATGTCCTCGCGCCCAGGCTTGATACTGTAGTCCCGCCCAGCCATAAAACGACCGGAGAAGTTCCCAGTCCACGTCCGGAAAGCCGACGTCGAGGGTGACCTTTGCGCTGGTAGATGCAGAATCGTCCCGTTCAGGCTCCGTCGCTTCCAGGATAGACCAACCAACGGACCCGTTAACGCCCAGGGCGCTGCTGAATCTAGCAGCGGGATCGTTGGTATAGGACATATTGCGGAATCCACCGAGCACCTCGAGCGGATCTGCGCCCCATGTTGCTTCTGTAGGTGTTTCATGGGAACAATGGAAAAATCAGTTTGCAACCATGGTCAATTTGTTGATGTTGCTGTTTTGCGTTGCATGCTCTGATGCAGTGTTCAGGTATACGAAATGGATATACTGACCTCTTGTACCAGTTTTGAACGGTCCAAGAACATGCCATGTTTTCGAGATGGAAATGGAAGCTAGGGCTCTATTCACATCCATATCCATATCCCATTTCCCCTCCTCGGCTGGGAGAAGCAATGGTGCTACATTTATGTCTGCGCCCAGTGCATCAGGAAGCAGGAATAATAGGAATGACGAGGATGGTAGCAACAAACAAACATGGATGAAGAACGGATAGGCTCTCCACAGGCTATACATTGTTTTGTTTTTCATTTCATTTGCCGTTCTTCCATAATCATCAACAATCACCATCATCATGATCATTTAGGAAATTCCAGATACGGCGATATGGGGTAAGAGCTACAAAAACCAGATGCCAGGGGACTCGCGACCATTTGTATGACTTAATTCCTTGATCATATATCAGCCACCATATCTAGGTGTCAGTTAGGGTAGAATAAAGTACTCCGCGTGCAATACATGACCAATCAATGATAGACATGAATAGCGAGGTTTCCACATCAAGCTTATCTCTGTGTCAAGTGCTAGGCACCTCGGCAGGTATGTATATGTATGTTTTGCACGGAAAATTATGCTTTTAGGGGATATATAGAGAGGATTGGTGTGGCCAGAACCAGCATGCTTTATTGAACATTGAATGAGAAAATATATGGCATATCCGAAATTAATAAGAGTTAATTAATAGCGGACAAAATGGTGGTTTCGAGGTTTCAACTCAGAAGAGAAGAATATAATATCCCTAAGCGAGGAGGTTATCCGGGGGCGGCATAACTATTCTCCAGGATTTTTCCGAACCAAGTAGAAAAACGCCAACAGAGCTTCGATGCACACAGATTGTGCCTCTACGCTGCGTAGTAGAAGGAGATTGAACACAGGGCATGTGTGCGGCAAAAAGTTGTTTCTTGCAAGCCTTTGCCAGGTACGAAGTGCTTGTCGTATATTTTTCCTCTTCTCCAGCAAACTGTGGGACATATTTTGCCTCTCTTACACTCTAACCAACCCCCCGTGTAGTTAGTAGTTACATGTAGATAGGTCCGTTAAGAGGAAGATTCCTGGGAGGGTTTATCATAGTAGTTTGCCGGGCTTTTTTCTAATTCGGGGATGATATTTACTCCGGGGGTGGATGTTCATTTAACTACCAGCGGTGGTTGTTGACAAAGAGAAATATGTTGATATCAAATAGAGATGAACTGACACAGCAGAAATCAGAAAGCATTATGATGCTATGTATATCTGGCCAGACAAGAAAGAATTTATTTTAAAATGACAGTCGAATCTCAGCAGGCGCAGGCCAATCACCAGCGTTATCCTGTCCGTCTTGCCAAGCTGGTTCTCTTCTAGCTCAAGCAGAAAGTGAAGGTTGGTTGGTCCTAGGTCCAGCGGGGTTTAACATGGTTCTAATATCTGTAATTAGGGTTGGGAGAAAGAGCCAACTTCCCCGCTGCCCATCTAAAAGTACACAAACGATGTCCTTGGCGTCTATTACTAATTCCTTTCACCGCTTTTCAAGACTAGGCACAGAGGAAATTGGCGTTTATAGGACTAAGTTAAGTTAAACTATATAAATAATTACGGAAGTAGTTAATAAGAGGCAAAAGCATTCAAAAAGATCACTATTCAATCTTGTAGAACGATCTGGAGAGTTGAAGTGTGGTGTGTGTACGGAGTAGTGCCAGTAGTTTTAATGGGAGTTTGATCACGTGGGACGGTATGTAGTTTTTCCGGCAGACAATCGAAAAAATCGAACACCAAGTCCGCCCTGGCTAGACCCACGCTCGCCTGTCCGCGAATTAAGCTCACCCACCCCCGTTCGTCGTCATCCAGGGCTTGGACATTCAACCACAACCGTCCGTCCCCTCCTCCTCTCTCCTCTCTCTCGATATCTCACTCTCTCGATCTCTCCTACAACAACCACCTCCACCCCCCTCCAACACACTGTCTCTTCTCAGCCCGGCCCTGGTCTGAGCATGAGCACCACGACAGTCGTTGGCACGGGCCTGCATTCTTCTGTGTTGTTGCCCAATTGGAAACCGAAAATGACAACCTCCCAGAACTCGCACTCGCCCTTGGATAAATTCCCGCTCTTCGACGACACCGTTGCGCCCACGTCCACCGACCAGAAAAGCCTCAACAACCATCAGTCACTGCGCTATTCGCAACCTACCAGATGGCTACCGCGGAAACAAGCTTCCCTCTCCCCCATTGGCCGTAAACAGCGCCCGCGCAAAAGTATCAGCGAGGCCATCGGGGGCTTTAGAGATCGTGGCACGAGTGTCAGTGTCAATGCCCAGGAGCTGGCGGAGGCTTTAAAAGCTCCTGTCTCATATAGACTTATTGTACGTTTCATTGTTTTGGGTTCCCGAGTTCGTTTTTTGGAGATCGAAACTAACCCAAGTCGTGGTTTTCTCCTCGAACAGGGTCTCTGCATCATCTGGTATATGACTTCCGCTCTCACCAACACCTCCTCCAAGTCCATCCTAACTACGCTTTCAAAACCAATTACTCTTACAATCATCCAATTTGCCTTCGTATCAATATGGTGCTCCGTCCTCGCCACTCTCGCCTCCCTATTCCCCGCCCTGCGGCGAGCTATCCCCGCCCTAAAAAATGGTTTGCAGAAGCCATCCGTTGATGTCATAAGGACCACGCTGCCCCTGGCCGTCTTCCAGGTTCTAGGACACATCCTCAGCTCAATGGCCACATCTCAAATACCCGTCTCCATGGTCCATACGATTAAGGGCCTGTCGCCCCTGTTTACAGTGCTTGCCTACCGCATCATCTTCCGAATCAAGTATGCCAGGGCAACGTATCTGTCCCTCGTCCCACTCACAACCGGCGTGATGCTTGCCTGCTCTTCAGGCTTCTCTACCAATTTCTTTGGTATACTCTGCGCCTTCTGCGCCGCCCTCGTCTTCGTCTCCCAGAACATCTTCTCGAAGAAACTTTTCAACGAATCCAACCGCGCTGAAACGGAAGACCACGCAGGCGGTCCCCGCAAACTCGACAAACTCAACCTCCTCTACTACTGTTCTGGCCAAGCCTTCCTCCTCACCCTCCCCATCTGGTTCGTCTTCGAAGGCTACAACCTAACAAAAGACTTCCTGCATGATTTCTCCATAAACCTATCCACCAAGTCCGGCACTCTGGACCACGGACCTCTCATGCTCGAGTTCGTCTTCAACGGCGTCTCCCACTTCGCGCAGAACATCCTCGCCTTCATCATTCTCTCCATGATCTCCCCCGTTTCCTACTCCGTCGCCTCCCTCATCAAACGCGTCTTCGTCATTGTCGTTGCTATCGTCTGGTTCGGCAGCTCCACAACCTCTGTACAGGCATTCGGTATCGGCCTCACATTCCTAGGTCTCTACCTCTACGACCGAACCAGCCACGACGACGCTGCAAACCGCCGGGCCAACGCTGACCGTTTCTACCATACTAATAAGAACCCTCTGTTACCGCTGAACACGAACAGCAACGGTGGTGCTGGTGGCGTCTCAGGCCCGAGCAGCAGCAGACCGTGGGACTCAAACGGGTACGTGTTCCCGTCGATATCAAAGTCGCAAGCAGAGTATGCGAAGCCGCCTCCGCGCCATCACAGTTTGAAGAAGGAGAAGGATGATGCGTCACCCAACCGACATGGACATGCGAGGAAAGCGAGTCCTGTCTGGCTGCCTCCGGGGACGAAGCAGGAGTCGACGTGGCAGGAGGGTGATTCCCAAGTGACGCCATCAAAAAATTGATAGAACTAATGTTTTGTTAACATTTCTTTTTTTTTTTTTTTCTTCTTTTTCTTTCTCCTCGAAACGGTTTAAACAGTGTGTTTTTTCTAACGATGCACAGATTCTCTTTTTCTCCCCCATTTGGCGTTCTGTTTTAAAACGGAGACAACATAAACATGAGGGTGCATTTTCCCCTTTTCTTTTTGTCATTCGCCTTATTCACATCTTCCTATCTCGTCTTCCTCTCGATATATTTAATTGATCACTTCCCACCCCCAGTTTGATTACATCAAGGTGCCAGGATCTCCTTTTTATCATACCTCTATTACTTTGTTTCTTCGTTTTATTCTTCTTCTTACGGGCGGACCAAGATCAACTGAACGAAACTAAAACTAAAAAGGAAGGCGGAGTTTTTGGCTTTTTTCTACTTCTTGATTTGTTTTATGTTACACGGTTACCTTGAACCTTGGAACCGTTGCACATTACACCCATACTTACTATATACCTTCCAAACTACAGGGCTACTGTCCTCTTATTTTTTAAACTATGCTATGTACGAGAGCAACTGCTGGATAGATATGTATTTCCCTATTTTGTTTTTCTTCTATTTTGTTCCATTTTTAATGCGTCTTCTGCCATATTTTTGATTTCCCTTCTGCTGCTGCTCTTCCTCTTCATTCTGCTTCAACACGGCCATTTTATCTGGCTTCTGATGTGCTTTTGTGTCCTTTGTGTATTATTGTGTATCATGCCATTTCTTTGCTTTTTCGTTTCTCCCCTAGAGACCTTGTCATAGATCTATGTATAGATGCTTTTGAGGCTGGGACACCGAAAGACATTGGTAATAAGGTGGGAAGGTACATAAAGATCAGAGAATTATTACAAGATGGTTGCTTTAATGTATAGTAGTACTTTTTTCTTTAAATAATTTGTTAATGACACGTGTGTCCGTTTAGAGAATTTTAAATACCAACGCATCGTTCTCAAGAAGAACCAAAAGTCTGGAAAAAGAAATATATTTTCTGTGTCGAGCTCATCTAGGCGCTTTTCTGACGTCCTCGTAATCCCGAAAACCCTAATGTCCATCACCCGCCCACCAACCACCCAGAATATATATATAGATATACATTTATGTGTTCATGTAGCAACCGTCGGTAAGGAACAGAAAACATCCTCATGGGGGCTTCCTCGAAAAGAAGAATCCCTAAGCCGCTCCAGCTACGGCGCCAGTTATATTTCTCTGGGAGCATACTGTAGAGGAAGAAGGGTGCAGGAGTATATATATATATCTATATATATACGTATATCCCTTCCTCCTACAATAAATCATGTCCGTAATGAGTATAATTTTTATGTGAAAGGGAAGAGAAAGAGAAGAAAGGAAACGGGTTGCAGAAGCAAAGTTTTATTATTTTTTCGGCTGTTCAGCCCCGGAGAAGGGGTTGTTCCAGCCTGCCCAATCAGCGGCGGGGATATTTGGCTTTGGTAATCCTCCACATCACGTGGGCTCGCTCCTTCCCGGTAGACGACATCCCAAGAGAAAAGAGACGGGACCAGCAAGAGAGATACTGCGGATATCAATTGAGCCCTGACGACGGCGGGGTCCTACATTTACAACCGCCCTCTCTCTCCCTCCCTTCCTCCCTCCTACCACTACCCACTACTCGTTTCCTTTTTATCCATTGCCTCGTTTTGCCCTTTTTTTTGGCGTTCTTTGTTTTGTTTAACTTGATTTGGAACGTCCACAAATAAACCGTCAAAAACGATGCGGCCGCAATTCCTCCGTGGGGCGGCCAGATCGAGGAGGCAGCAGCTCTCCCCCTCCCCGCGCCACCAGTGCGGCAGATTCGGTTACATTTACGGCTCCAACAGCTGTGCGGCGGGGGCGGGGAGGTCAAGGTCGTTCGCGACTACAGCGCCGCGGCCGGCGGAGGTGGAACTTACTATTGGTGCGTGGATCGTAATTGAAAGGGATGAGGGAGGGATTGATATATAAATATGGGTTGGATGTGTGTTGATTGACTGACTTGGACTTGTGTTCTCTTTTTTTTTTTTTTTACAGATGGGAAGAAGGTCTCGATAGAAGGTTAGTAGTGCTGTTTGGATCCCCGGGGTCTTATATGCCGGAGTGAATTGGATTGGGATTAGATGGGTTATGAGCTATGCTGACTCTGTTGGTATAAAACAGCTGGTTCAGCTTTGATTCAAGCGTGTGAGAAGGCGGGTGTCACAATTCCTCGGTATGTATAGTCAATGGCTTTGCACCCTTGATTGGTTTGGTCTACCTGACTAACTAAATGTACAGATATTGTTATCATGAGTAAGTTTTATGCAGCTTTTCCCTCCCACTCCTATCCCCCTCGGATGAACTAGGTTATTAAATAAAATATTAGGAAACTCTTGATTGCAGGAAATTGTGCGTTTATCACTACCTGTGACTACCCTATGGAGTGAAAAGAATGCCATGCTAATAGCCAGAAACAGGTCGAATGTGTCTAGTCGAGGTCGAGCGAGCACCCAAACCGGTCGCATCATGCGCATGGCCAGTCCAACCAGGAATGGTCGTCAAGACCAATTCCCCCCTCACACACAAAGCGAGAGAAGGTGTCATGGAATTCCTCCTCGCCAACCATCCCCTGGACTGCCCAATCTGTGACCAGGGAGGTGAATGCGACCTACAAGACCAATCAATGAGATATGGCGCAGACCGTGGACGATTCCACGAAGTAGGAGGCAAGCGCGCTGTGGAAGATAAAAATATTGGACCGTTGATCAAGACCTCGATGAACCGGTGTATTCATTGCACACGCTGTGTCCGCTTTGCAAATGACATAGCTGGTGCCCCGGAACTAGGAACTACCGGCCGAGGAAATGAGATGCAGATTGGCACTTATTTGGAAAAGAATCTGGATTCGGAATTATCTGGTAACGTTATTGATCTGTGCCCTGTCGGTGCTCTGACGTCGAAACCATATGCCTTCCGAGCCCGACCTTGGGAGCTCCAACATACTGAATCTATCGACGTTCTGGATGCTGTGGGATCGAACATTCGTGTGGATTCCCGTGGAATGGAAGTCATGCGCATTCTGCCCAGATTGAACGATGATGTCAATGAGGAATGGATCAATGATAAGACTCGATTTGCCTGTGATGGACTCCGAACTCAACGACTCACCACTCCCTTGGTCAGGAAAGATAACAAATTCGTCCCTGTTACCTGGGAGCAGGCCCTGGCAGAGATCGGAGGCGCGTTCCGCCGGCTTGCACCCAAGGCCAATGAATTCAAAGCTGTCGCCGGACATCTTGTCGAGACCGAGTCCCTGGTTGCCATGAAGGACCTCGCCAACAAGCTTGGATCCGATAATCTGGCTCTTGACCAACCGGGCGGCAGCGCTCCCATTGCACACGGCATCGATGTACGATCAAACTACCTCTTCAACTCCAAAATCTACGGTATAGAAGAAGCCGACGCCATCCTCCTCGTCGCCACCAACCCCCGCCACGAAGCTGCTATCCTCAACGCCCGCATCCGCAAGCAGTACCTTCGCTCAGACCTCCAAATCGGTCTCGTCGGCGAAACCTTCGACAGCACCTTTGACTTCGAGCATCTCGGCACCGCAGCCTCAAATCTCAAATCCGCCCTCGCAGGCCCCTTCGGCAAGACCCTCGCTGCCGCTAAGCGACCTATGATCATTGTCGGCTCCGCTGCCGCCGAACACCCAGACGCAAAGGCTATCTTCGAAACCGTCGGTGGCTTCGTCGACAAAAATGCTGCTACCTTCAACACCCCTGAATGGCAAGGTTACAACGTCCTGCAGCGTGCCGCCTCGCGTGCCGGTGCCTACGAAGTCGGCTTCACCACGCCCTCTCCAGACGTCGCCGCCACAGTGCCAAAGATGGTCTGGCTCCTTGGTGCCGACGAGATCGCTGAGGCAGACATCCCCAGGTCCGCATTCGTCGTCTACCAGGGCCACCACGGTGACCGCGGCGCCCAGCTTGCCGACGTCGTCCTCCCTGGTACCGCCTACACCGAGAAATCCGGCACATATGTCAACACCGAGGGTCGAGTCCAGATGACACGGGCCGCCACCTCTCCGCCCGGCGCGGCCCGCGATGATTGGAAGATCATCCGCGCTGCCAGCGAGTTCCTCGGCGCACCGCTACCGTACGACGATGTAGAGATGCTACGGGATCGGATGGAGATGATCTCGCCCGCGCTGCGTCGGTATGATGTTGTGGAGAACACCTCTGCTAGCGTGAGTGCGTTGAGTAAAGTGCAGCTTGTGGATCAGAATAAGGGTGCCGTGGCAGGGAACGAGCCATTTAAGAGAGCTATTGAGAACTTCTACTTTACGGATTCGATATCGAGAAGGTGAGACTCTTTTTTGAACGCCGCCGCCCTCTATTCTCTTTTCGTTTGATGATGGTTTATGCTAACTGTTATTCTAGCTCCCCGACAATGGCGCGTTGCTCAGCTGCCAAGGAGACCGGAAATCCAGATAATAACTTCATGATTGGGAGTGCGGTGGAGGAGCAACAGCGCCTTGGCGGTGCGTCGAGTGCATAAACTGGTAATATAGGTCCCATCCCCCATTTTTCTCACTGTATTTATTTTTTATTTTTTTTTATCTTCTTTTTTTTATTACTTTCCAGTCCAGTCCATTCCATTTTTTTGTTTGAGACAAAATCAAAGAGCAGAGCAAAGCAAAAACAATACAATACAATACAATACAATACAAAACAAACAAATTAGCAAGCTATTTCCCCTTTTTTTTTTCCCCCTTTGTTAGCATTTGTTTCTTCGGTTGAATCGTTTAACTTTAAGCTGTTTCTTTTGGTTCATCAGTGTCTCCCTTTGCACCTACGGAATGTATAGTGACCCTTCTCCCACGCCAGTTTATCCGGGATGATAAGTTTCGCTCTCTCTCTATATCCCTCTCCTTCACCCACTTTTTTGTTTTTTTTGTTTGTTTTTCTCTTTGTTGGTTTCTAGATATAAAATAGGTAGTGTAGCTGTTCGTGTATATATACGATTGAATTTGTGATAACTTGATGATAGAAGATATTTTGTTCAACAAAGGGGATGTAAGAAATACATGACGTGAAAAAAAAAAAAAAAAAAGGCCCACGAACTGGTGGTAAATAAAGTAGAGAGTGAGAATAAGCGCGGAAAGGAGATCATTTGACTCGAACTATGGATGTGCATGTGCTCCGTACGGGGTTTACTATAGTCTGCATGTCTTGTTCTCCCCGTTGTCGTATTCCTCAATGCTTCATTACACCTTCTTAGCTGTTCAGGGAACAGGGCACGATAGGACAAATGAGCCAGGAATACATAAATCGTCTTTTTGCTACTTATGCGGGAGTACAAGACTTAAATTGGACTTTCTATTGAAGTTTTCGTTGAGGAAGATACGTGGATATTCTCTAGCAAAACAATAGGGGTTTGTTTGATATCATGATACAGTCCAAGAAGTGGGGCAAGAGCAGGAATTTGGGTACACAGTCGTAGAAGGGTATCTATCGCTTTTAACCATCTGCAACATTTAAGAGTAAATCATTTATCCAATCATGGAAATAAATAAGAATTTGAAGAACCAGGTAAGAAGTCAGCCATGGACTCAACTAAATCATCGTCGTCGTCATCTGATATAGACGGGCCTTTCCGCGAGTTGTCACGATTGTGCGCTTATTACCTTAATACCATATTAACTTTGGCCTTAAGCTGCAAAGATAGGAAATTTGTGCCATTGGCTCAATGTCCACCGTAAAAATCATCACAATTCATCATCCTCGTCAGAATCATCGCCCACCACAGGAGTAGGTTTCACAGGTCCCCTCTTCCTGGTAAATGGAAGCTCCCGGCGTGGCGGAGGGCTCGATGTTGTCGTTTTCCTCGTCGTTGTTGTCGACGATGTCGGTTGTTTGGACGATGAACGTGTAGCTCTCTTTCCACCATTCACTGTTGGGGGAGGGCTGGGTGCTTTTGTTGGCTCATCTGCTTCGTCTTCAGTGGCAGTTTCATCTTCGAGTGGATCCGGGGTTTCTTGCCCGTCCGATTCCGTAAGGAGGTCCTCGTTTTCTCCTTCATCCTCTTTTTCAGTATCCCTATTAGCTTTACCCTGTTTTCTAGCTTTGTCTACATCCATTGTATCAAAACCACCCTCGCTCTCTGACGATACGGCGGGTTCTTCGGCTTTGCGCTTACCGCGCCGCTTTGTACTCCCAGTTTCTGATGGAGCGGAAGCGCTCATCTCATCCACTAGACACAATATGTTAGTATAGACAAGACAAGACGAGTAAACTGGAATATGTCTCTGCGAACCTTTGGATGGATCAATCTTTGCCGACGCGAGCAAGCGTTGTTGATTTCTAATTTTCAACTTCTTTTCATTTAATAGCTGGGCAAATTTGGCGATCAACTGATCTTCATGCTCCGTTTTGGCCTTTATTAGTTCCTTCAATTGTGAATTCAGTTTGTTAATGGTGCTCTCTAGGGCATCATATTTCGCAGTTAAGGAGGCCAGTTCATCCTCCAGCCCATCCGCTCGCGCCACCGCCATCCCAGTCCAGTCGAAAAGTTGAATGGCCTGATCGTCATCCTGCTTGAGGGAGATGGTTCCCAATCTTTGCTAAAGGAGGGAAGAGTATCAGAACTGATCAGATCAAAGGGTAAGGGTGAGAGTTTCTATACCGTGATTGTATCTATTCTCTTCCTCAGACTGATGACAATATCCTTCTCGCTCTCATCATCCTCGTCTTGCTTCACAGTGGCTGCAATTTCCAGCCCAGACTTATGCTCTTCAGGCACCGATGCGGACTGCTTCTGCCCAAGCGCGTATGCAAGAATACCCGTCCACTCGTCGTCAGCGCCATGGTAATTTTTGGCACGCAGTTTGTCGATTTGAGCGGATTTTACTACATTAATGGACATTAGCTATAAATTCGCCGTTAATAAATGTCAATAGTTTATCTATACCTGAACCTCTATACGGAGCTTCCCCCTCTGTGGCAACCAGCTTGAGGTCAAGCTCTGAGCTACCTGGCCTAGTTACCTTAACCAAAATAAAGTCTCCAGGACTATCACTTCTTGGTATGCGCAGAATCGTTTCTTTGGCCATGATTTATATATATAGGTGAGATTATACATAGAAAAAGTGGTTTGGTCGATTAAGAAAGTTTTGTTTGTGGGCATAGATGGCATGTTGCAAGGCAGCAGTGATGGAATTATCAGCGGGTACTGGTATCGTCATAACACCCATCAAAGTTACCAAACGTACCATATACGCACGTGATACTGAACCAGGGTTACGCGTGGGGCCGACGCGCCGCGGCGCTGGTCCTTCGCTTAAAGAACCATTTCCGGACTAGCCGCCTAAGCGCGTTTGGACTCCGCGCTTGTCCCCAACCTCCTCCTGCCCTGGCATCAAGCACCGACAACGAGCGACGACGAGGACGACGACGAGGATGCTATATTGAGTCTCACCGTTCGACCCTCCAGCTGCACTTCCATTACCGCTTCTCAGGCTACTTTACCGTCCAGCCATTGTCCCGCCCTCTTCCTTTCAACTCGCAACAATTTCGATCCCAACTATATCCAGCTGTCCCGGTCAGTTGCCCAATATCCAAGTTCCGCCTAAGCTCAACCATCTGGGCCGACCTTGTATAACCTGTTTAATCGAGTTTTGTCCACAGTGGTTTTATCTACTCTACATGAAGAGAGCCAGGTTGAGAGCTCTCGTCTGTTGCTCGTTGAAATTCCAAAGATCGACCGCTTAAGCCCTTAAAAAAAAAAATTACACCATCAACGAACACTTTCTTTTGATTTCGGCCCAGCCACCTCCAACCTACCCGAAACCTATTAATATCAGTCAGGTGGCGAGGCCAACACGGAATGACTTGTCATCCTCCCTTCTATCGTGTCTGCCGAGGTCAACGTCTAAGTTCACCAACAGGCACAAGAAGTTCTACTTGATACTATCTTATGAAGATAGAATTAGATTCTCTTGGATACACGAACTACAACAGCTACGGACGAGCCAATCCGGCTGGAGGTTCCTTCAGTATGGACACATCTCCCCTGAGGCTGCGCCAATCTCAAGCGGGCGAAGCAATCGAATGCTGGGATGACGACGAAGATCTACAGTGTAATGATTATATCCAGTTCCGTACTGTTTCGGCCGGTACCTCTGTGGCAGGATCGTCTTCCTTCCGGCCATCCGGCCATCGTGACTCTATATCTTCTCGTCGTTCCTGCAGATCTGATCTGGATTCTAATGGTGGCGATGAGGAGGATTGGCAATTGCTGTTACATGACAATGATGAGGCTGCAACAAAGGACGCAATCGCCTCTGCCAAAAGTGCCGGCATTCCGCTTCCTGCTGATGTACCCAGCTCGGCTTTGCTAGGTGGCACGATAAAGCGCCTTGGTGGCAGAAAAATCAAAAAGACCCTAGGAGACGATTGGTCAGAAGATCTCGACTTGTCTGGTGTTGAGGGGGACCTCAAACTGAAATTGAATCTCGATGAGATATTCCCAGATTCGCTACGCCAGCTTGGGTCACCTGCTGACTTCAGTCCTGTGAAATCTCGAGATTTGGATTCCGATCCGTTTATCACTGACAATAGCAATCTTTCACCGTCGCGGAAACGGAACTTTACCAATTTAGATCGGTTTCGTGATACGGAGGACGACAGCTCTTTCCACGATGTTCCAACTATCAAAATTGCAAAATCACGGCAGCAACAGACCATCCTCCCAACACCTACGGCAAAACCAACTGAAGACGATGAAAACTTTGAGTCTGATCTGGAATTCCCTCCTGATGGTGAACCTTTGAAACTCTCCACGAGAAAAGACAGAATTAAATCTCTAGAACCTTCCCTTGATGACCTTGACACTGATTGGGCGGAGGGTAGCATTGGAGTGCGTTTTGGTGGGACAAAGAGAGACGGATTTTCTAATCGTAGCTCCACAGTCTCAGTACTGAGTCCAAGTGTCTCGAGTTGCTTAACTGCTGAAAGTGAAGATGATGGACTTGATGGCCTCCTATTGCCAGATGGCCCGTTGGATCTTGAGCAGGCTATCAAGAGGAGGCAGCAATATCAGTTGTCACATTCGCCTCAAACTTCTGCGCCACAACAAAGCCCAAAGCGTGCCGCCCCGCCTAATGAGGATTTCTTTTCTGGCATTGAAATCGGTGATGGTGAGATTTTTGATTCGAGTAAACTGACTCTGAACCGTAATATCAAACTCAAAACTACCAGGCCTGTTAGCCCAGCGAGGCGTACCGCCACCAGCATCACATTCACCAACAAACCTCCAACACCCCTTACCACTCGAATACCTAGATTATCCGGCCATGAACGCCCTCATTCTACCCACCTCGAGCCAGTCTCCGAAAGTGGGGCGCCACCTCCCAAGTATCGACGGCCACATTCGCGTCTAAGTGGCCACAGTACCCAGAGTACCCATTCGTCTCTCTCAAGTATCCCTCTTCCCAGTCCACCATCAATGTCTCCACCTCAAAAGACTCCGAGCCGTAGATCGTTAGGGAACAGGACATCTGGGGATACGTTGCGGAGCCCACCCACTACTACCAATGCCCAGCTCCTGAAAGCAAAGCGATCCGTACCAGCGTTGCGTAACGTACAATCCGGGATAACACCCATTGCACGACCCCCTTCTCGACAAGATTGCACCACTAGGCCCTCAAATTCGTCTCGTCCTAAAACGCCCACCGCTGAATCTCGCCTGGCTAGCGGCCGTCGCCCCTCTGTTCCTTTTCTCCCAGCTGGAGCAGCGCACAATAAGTCCCACCATGTTAACGTTAAAACTCCCCGACATTATCGACGTACCGATTCGGACAGCTCGGCAGACTTATTTTCGAACCCGCGTTCAACATCCGGACTCTCCAACCGTGACCATCCGGAAACTCCAGGGCGTTTTCGATTTGATCTTGGCCCAGAATCTTTAGCTGCTACCGTAAAACAAACGATTACCAGACCTAACAGGCGCAGAAATTTTGGCGATGGCTCAGAGTTGGACATTTTCGATGATCTTCCAACCTCAGCTTCCCTAGAGAGCAAGTTTGTCAAACATCCGATAAAGTATGGTGTTCCCAGGTCTATGAGAAACAGACTTAGCCAGTACCATATTGTACCTCCCCCCATGGCCCACAACCCAATCCCACGCCCCCATACCAGCCCTACAAAGCACGACTTTACTCCTCGATTTGCGCGAGACACCAATGCCTCGAGAAATGCCAGAGAGCAGCGAATTGCTTCAATGACCTTTGCGCAAAATCGTGAGATTACACCGTTGGTCCCTCTTAGTACAAACTGGAAATCCCCAGGCCCTGTACGGCCTCCGCCTCATAATTCCATAAAGAATCGTCGTGGAAAGGGGTCAGGTGACCATAAACCCCATCTTATAAAACCTATGGGTGCCGGCGTCCATGAAGCAAAATGTAAGTTATCAATATCCAATGTCACATTTTCTGTGACTCGTATAACTTATGCCATGTCCAGCCATCAAGGGAATGCGATACAATCCGGCAACGTACAAATGGGAAGGTAATGAAAATGCAACAGTTGAATTTGAACAAATCCCATCGCCAAGATCCCCCAGAGCCGCACCTGCCCTCATCACTCATGTTGGGGCTACATCTGGCGTCCAAATCGTAGGGGGAATGGTATTTGATCCTCAGCGCATGTGCTGGTTAAAAGTTGCCGCGACCCAATCTGGCAAGGAGAACATCACACTCGCTCCTGACGAGGAAGAAGTCCTAGCAGGCCTAGATGATCTACAAGAACGTCCGCAAAAGTCATATAATGTCCCGAGAGAAGCGCAGACCTCGAGCGATATGACGGCCCTGGATAATATCGTTAACCTAGAAGACAAAAGTGCTGGTGAATCATCCGATGAATGGCCAATTACGGAGGAATTCGATGTTGGCCCAGAGTTCATCAAGAGGCAGCGTGCGGAAGAAGAAAAGTGGAGACGGAAGGTGAGCAAGTGGGTCACCGCAGACCGCACAGCGCATGGTGATGGATGGAGATGGGCGATTCGAGATATGGTAAGATCGGATCTCACGAGTACCCATTCGACGGGTAGAAACTAATTGTTCCGTTTAATTTCCTCGAAAAACCCCCTATAATGAGCTGCTGTTGTCGCAGCAGACATCGTCCATAGACTTCAATGGCGTACACTAATTTCGCTTCGTGTTCTTTTTATTATTCCCACTTTATAGGCGAAATAGACCCATGCCACCGTCTCTGTAGTATTTTCGGATGACTTGGCCATGAGCTCTTTCCCTTTTCCTGTATCCCCTCTTCTTGTACTTGGTTACGATAGAGCATTTACGACGAACATGCCGCCATGATTGCCCAGGGCTAATTGCATGCCATGCATGCCCTTGATGACTTTACGAAATCCCCAAAAATCAGAACAAAAGTTGTCCTCGCTTGACAATCGTGTATTATCTATCAATGTTGCCCCCTGAACGAGTTTCCTATTATATATGTATCCCTTGGCTTTGTTAGTTTCCGTTGCTCCCTCTTGTGCTCCTTTCCCTGTCATTGCTTTTGCTCACGCACCCTTTCTCACCTACCGATGCATGTATTGTCTGTACTTAGTAACCATTTAACTATGCCGACCATTTGAGTTTGTTCATTTTTGCTTTTACTACAATAGAATGTTCAGATGTTCTCGGTTACCGCTATTCGTCTACCCTCGCCTGTCCAGAATGTTTTTCTGTCTTAAATTACTTTCACCATAAGCCGTGGACGGGGGTGCAAACAACACTACGTCTCAATTCATTCTCCAGATACGTGGCAGTAGACTTCCGGTTCCTCGACCAACAGCTATTTGATATCGAATGCCGCTCGCAGTGACATACCGATTCCCGATCCTCTGAACGTCTACATCGGTAAGACATCTTGAGTTGCCTTTTCTTTATTCCTTGTGGTCGACTGTCGGCGAAGGGCGGGTTAGTCAGGCGGATGACGATTACATGTCCTGAAACCAAAAGCCGACTTGGCAAGGCATGGGACAATATCCGGCCTCCTTCCGTTCTTTTATGCTCACAGCACAGGAACAACGCAGTTCCCGTACACAGCCTCAGTGGATGAAAGGCCGGAAACACTGCAGGCGTAAGCATACATGTCTATTGCATAATGAGCGTCATGTATGCTTGCGCCTGCTTGCAGGTAATGGATGT